CTTTGAGGAGTAAACCCAGTTATCGTACAGTACATCATTTCCCACAGCTAGCTGTGGGTAGGCCAGGAGCATATTCCAAGCTGAAGCCATTTTGAGCTTTGAAAGCTCTTTCAACCTATCGGCGTGTACTTGAACCTTGCAACAGCTGAGGTTGGGCGCGTTGTAGTCTTCCCCCCTTGCCTCGTGAACCATGCCGCCATGCCAAACCCTATCGAATTTTGGGTCATGGTAGCAGCAGTACTCGCTGTCGTCGGGATCCAACGGTTCGGTCATGTAATACTCATGGTTGCTGGTTAGTTGTTGGAGCTCCTTGATTCTTTCGGCAACGTTGACGATCTGGAACTGTCCCCGGAATGCACCCGGTCTTTGAGCGTGGCGGCCTACAATTCTCAGCTTCGAACTTCAAAGTCAGCAACAATCTGGACTTCAATTTGTATCAGAAGGTTCCATATCAGAAACCATAAGGAACCCACGTACATTTACGAGCTCAAGCCTCACAGGGCCCAGCAATCGTTTCCATCGCCGAGTACACTGCCACACGGCTTCAGACAATCTAGTCCATAAGCTGACCGGGTCCAATGCATCTGATAGTCTGACGGCGGAAATGACGGCATCCTGTTCTTTCCCTTCGCAGATCAAAATGAATGGGGCATTGGAAAACAGCGGTTTTAATATACCACGTATCTCCTCCCTCCGTTGGTTGACTGGATTTGGCGGACTGGCCATCCTTTTGAGATTACGTTTACCAGCTCTTTTCTTGCAAGTGATAGGAGTAGTGCCCGTTGGTGTCTCAGTTGTCTTTGGTGGGTGGTTAGAGGTTTCAATAGGAGGTCGTCGGGGTTCGATGGGTCGTGGTGCAGACCCTACGGAGTATGGGCGATGTTCAACTAATGGAAGCTCATTCTCAACCTGGTCTGTTACTTTCCCAAAGCGGTGGAGGAGTTGAATGATGGTGTTGTGTCCTGATACATTTAGTGTGACCACTTCTTGGCTGGGAAAGACCGAAATGCGGGATGGCAAAGACATGGTAAAGCTCTCGTTCGCATTAAGAGGGTTATGCGACGGTGAGTGTTGGTTGTGATTCTCATGGCGTGTGGCATGACTCCCATTTTCTTCATCGTGAGCTCCACCGGCATGCTTGCTCGGCATATAAGCAGCTGGTGGAGGTGGAATCAGCGAACTTGGTGAACTCATTCTCAAAAGCGATAACAGTTACTCTTGTGTACCACCATTGAATGTCGTTCAAATGAGGGTCAGACAAGGTCTTTGAATGTCTGTAAAACGACCATCTGGATATCGATTATCCCAGCAGTCAGCCTGGTGAGAAGCCTAGGAGTGGTCGGGTTGCATTGAAGATGCCATTGGCGCTTGAACTGAGGCTATGCATTGTAGATCCATCCAGCCTGCCGCAGTCTGGTGCAGATAAAAGCAGACTCAAGTACAACAACATCGAGATAGTAGATGTCGAACTTCAGACTTCATACATGGTAAGACGCCTTTTCGCAGATGGGACGGATCCGGGATCGATGGCAACCTGCGCTTCAGCAGGTTTTCGCCTATGAATTAAAGATTTTAGGAGTTGAGGCTGCTCCTGTCAACCCTGAACTCAGTTAGGAGTGAGTGCAAGTGCTTCTCTATGTGACATTTAGGCTGAGCCGTCAATCAGTATCTCAACAAAGATTAACAACAGATAATGTGTCAACATCGCCATGTTTCAACTAACGTTCTCCAATAATCACCATAATGTGTTGCAGAACGTCCTTTTACAAGACTCATGACTTTTACATAAGCAAATTATCATGGGCTGAGACGCGCATACACGAGCTGACATGCAGCGTACCCGACCTGCAGGCTCTCGAAGGGACGGGGGTGACGGGGCGAGAATGCTATGCAGCCACACTGGGGAAAGCCAGGAACGAGAAAGACTCGATGTACATATTCGCCTAGTGGTTGCAACCACCTGACGACGATCATAAAGTGAGGCAAATCAAGCTGCCTACGGGATTGAAATCCCAGATCGGGAGGAAGACTCTGCGCAGGCCGTGTGGGAAGGTGAGAACATGATCACTTTTGCCAAGACTCTGGCGCGATGCAGAGGTCCTTAGTGAGAGTGTTATAAGTCAACAAGTTTCCCCAACTGGAGCAACATGAAGACACATTAGGAACAGCGATAGAAGGCTCGAGGATCCGCCGGAATGTATCTCGCCATAGCTCTCCTAGTCCAAGCGACTCTAGCTCTCAGCGCCCCCCTCGACGACCTCACAGCCTGCCTTCGCACCGCCTCCGTCCCCATCGCATCCTCAACCCCGACGCCATACAACCTTCGTATTCCTGTCAAACCACTACTCGTCGCCGTCCCGACAACAAACGCCCAAATCGCGTCCGCGGTAACGTGTGGCTCCAAGAACGGCGTTCGCGTCAGCGCAAAGAGCGGCGGACACAGCTACATCTCTACCGGATACGGCGGCGAGGATGGACATCTTGTGATCAATTTAGACCGCATGTACAGCGTGACTGTTGCGAGCGACGGGACGGCCAAGGTCCAGGCTGGTGCGAGGTTGGGACACGTAGCCACGGAGTTGTATAACCAGGGAAAGAGGGCGATATCTCACGGGACATGCCCAGCGTGAGTGTTGATATAAATGAGCAATAAATCTTGGAGCTTGGCTTATGCGTATCACAGTGTCGGTGTGAGCGGTCACGCCCTCCACGGAGGCCACGGCATGGTCTCCCACACCTACGGCCTCGCCACAGACTGGATCAAAGCCGCGACAGTCGTCCTGGCCAACGGTACGATCACGCGCTGTTCGGCGACTGAGCGTCCTAATCTCTTTTGGTCCATCCGCGGCGCGGGCTCGTCCATGGTCATCGTGGCAGAACTCGAGTTCAACACCTTTGCCGCGCCTGAGGAGGTGACGTATTTCGATATCAATCTGGTCTGGGACACGGCGAAGCTGCCGCAGGTTCTTCTGGATACGCAGGAATTCGCAAAGACTATGCCGGCGGAGCTGACGATGTCGACGACGTTCAACAATGATGGGAGTTATCTAAACGGCGCGTATATTGGCGATGATGCGGGATTTCGCGCGGCAGTACAGCCTCTGCTTGCGAAGATTGGTGCCAAGGTATCTAGTTCCAAGACTGTTGGATGGATCGACTTTATCAAGCACTATGCGGGTGTGACGGACATTGACGTGACGACGGCAACGTACAACGAGGTAACGAGCAACTTGCATGACCTGCCGAAGCTGAGAAAGGGGGCATCCTCACTAACACGGTCAACAGCACGACAACTCCTACGCATCAAGCCTCACAACCCCTGCCCTCACAAAACCAACCTTTCAATCCCTCGTCGACGCCATCGCAAAGAACGGGCTCACCGCAACCCGGTCATGGTACATGCACATGAACTTCCACGGGGGCTCAAACTCGGCCGTGGCGCGGCCCAAGACCAACGATACCGCCTACGTCCACCGCGACAAGATGCTCCTCTTCCAGCTCAAGGATGGCGTCTCGACGAGCCAGACGTACCCCTCCGACGGGTTCGCGCTGCTGCAGGGTTTGAGGCAGAGTATTACCCAAGGGCTAAGCGGTGGTCAGTGGGGCATGTATGCGAATTATCCTGATTCTCAGATTAGTGAGAGCGAGGCGGTGCGGTTGTATTGGGGGACCAATCTGAACAGACTGGAGTGGATTAAGGCTGATTATGATCCGACGGATTTATTTCGATTTGTGCAGTCTATTAAGCCTGCTGAATAGAACATGAGCTTGTGAAGCGAGGTACTGGGTAGTAGTCCGGGGACAGCTCGTGCCGCGAAGAAGTTCGTAGAGATGGCATCTTCAGGATTAAATAACTGAGAACCTTGCCGGATAAGGTAGAACCCAGCAGTGTAAAGAACTTCCCTCCTTCATTCGAGAGAGTATGATGATGAGGCACACTAACAAGTAGGCAATGTATAGTACCACGGAAACGTGGAAAATAATAGAGCAAGGTGGGAGCGTGGAAGTCGAAGGCTGGGCGAGAAGTTTTAGCTGGAAAGGAAAAAGGAAAAAGGTAAACACGCATATACTTGGTACACGTAGGAATGATAGAAAGTGTGGAGCTCAGTTTAGGCAGTGATGAGAGCATGGCTTCGTGGCCTTTTACATTACAACATTACATGTACAGCTAGGTAACAATTATTCGAATGGTGTCGCTCTAGGATGCACCATTCCCCCTTGACATGATTCAAGATTCGTGAACTCGCTCAAGCCGTGCTAGGCACAATCGCTCGGTGACCCGGGACGCGATGAGTCCACAGGCTCCTTCGGCGCGATGTCTTTGATAGCTTGAGCAGGTCAATGACCAGAACGCAACGGGTGAAACCGTCGGCCGCTTCCTGAACGCTTCCGAAGTGGTCGCAGAATGAAGGGCCAAGCGAGCGTCCTCGACCCCGACTACTCTCCACAGTAGACGACACAACTACTCGATTTTCGATTGGTATGATGCTTGAAGAGCATGCGGAGGCATAGAGGTAGAAAAAGCTGGGGGTTTCAAATTCGAGCGAAGCAAGTCTGCCCATGAGTCGCGGAGAGGATCTTTCTCGAACGCGATCGGTCAATCTGCCGTGGGGCTCGTGAGACTACCCTTGCCTTGTGCTGTCTATTCTCGATCTCTGTGGTTGGCCGTGGTTATGTGCCAGGCAGAAGCGAGCGCACGTATTAGCTCTGTCTGCAGAGCCTGTCGATGGGAGCACCGCTTGAGGAACAAACTTTCGCCAGTCGCACTCGACCGGTTCCATCAGCTTTGGAACCGATGAACTGGCGGTATCAGGATGCAAAAGAGGCTTTTGGAGCTGCGTTGTCGAATAACCACACGTGTTGTTCTTGCGCGGGATATCCATATCAACGACAGAAAAATAACTGAGTAGAGTTGCACAGATAGTACCCAAGGTATCGTGGGTCAACGACGCAGGAGCCGTGGCCTGTCGCGAGCTGGTAGATCGTTTGGGCTGGCCTCATCATCGATGATCGAGCATTCGGAAGACAGACGTGTTTCTGACAAAACATTCTTCATCCTGGACGCCGCAGCCCAAAGCCAGTCGAGTAGCTCGATCGTCGCCGTGTCCTTGCATATCGGCAATGATGCGTGCCGCGGCATTGCAAGACATTTCCAGCGGCGAGGCAGCCGGTGGGAGCTGCTGATGGAACTCCAAGGGACGGGGAGGTGTCTCACTCCGACGATGATAGGGATGCGGGCTCTTGGATGGTTCCGAGGCAGTGTTGGGTGCCGAGCCAGTCTGGGAGGAGCGATTGAGACTAGCGTCGGCGAGCACGGCGAGCCTGTCTAGAGGGGAGGATTGTTGGACATCGGGAGTTGGGGTAAGGGTGAGCACCGGCGGGAGCAGCGAGTCCCCAAATTTCCTCTTGGATGCCAGGTGCTCGTTCTCCGTCTCGGACGAGAAGCTTGCCTTGCCGAAGTGTTCCTGCAGCGGAGGCAATTGGGTCGGTGATGGTTCGAGGAGGATGGGTGTGTTGAGGATGGGAGCGAGTGTCGTTATGTTGGACGCGCTGGGCGAACCCTTGCTACCCTCGTCATCTAACGATCGCAAGTGTGCATCCACCTCTCCATTTGTTACGCCTTTGCTGACGAGCAGGGCGCGCAGACGAGTATTTTCTGTCGCGAGTCGTGAGTTCTCAAAGGCGACGTCTCGAGCAGCCTTTTGCATCTGCAAAGAAGCCTGGGTCCCCCGCTTCTCATAGTCCTGGACCTTGCGCTGCAACTCGTCGACGAACTCTTTATGGCGGGCGCGTGATCGTCGTTGATTATCGCGTATTCGAATGGCATTCGCGGACTTGTCGGTCTGGAGCTGTTGCTCGAGTATGAAGTCAGTTTTCGTCGAGAGAGAAGAGATGAAATTTTAGCTGAAGTCCAAAGAAGTTTTTTTTTTTTTTTCCTGGCATGTCACCCGGACCCTGGTTAGGGAACGGGAATCACAGACAAGAGGTTCGACCCCATCGACTTACTCGACCACGTTTGGCCCTCTTGGCTTGAGGACCGAATAGATCTTGATAATCTTGCTCCGAGGACATAGTGTTGACTGTTGGCCTGTTCCATCCGAAGATCCCGAGAGGGTATGGACGCGGAGACGAACATTCGGTGGGCGGTGAGGCAGGTTTGGAAAAACAACCTGCTGTGATTTTTTTTTCCGTGGTGGTTGGACGGTCGGGGGGGGTGGGAGGTGGTGACAAACACCATAGAAAAAAAAAGAACAAAAAAAAAAGAAAGGACCAACCCGCATCGGCCAGCAAACCCGCTCGTTCTGGCCAGCTGATGACTAATAATGTCAGCCAACCAATCCGCGCCGACCTGTCTGAGTTTTTCGCAGGCGCTAAAGTCTGATTGGCGAATAAAACGAGCTTCTAGTGTGTCCACAGCGGGCCTAGTGGGGGCCCAAGCTTCATGGCTCCAAACATGGCATTTCTCACTTTTCACTCTCGCTCTCAGCTTCTCAGTGAGTCTCACTCTCACTCTCACTCTTCCTCTGCCCTCCCGTGGCTGGACTGTGTCTCTCGGTGCAACCTCCGACCACTCACATTCAAGAACAGCAGCCACTGACTGTCTCATTGGAGCAATCCAAGTACCTAATCCATGACGGAAGAGTCCAAGAGACACTCGAGAACGTCCTGGACATTCTGAGACCAAAAACCGCTGTGTCACGTTTGCTGTTGCGCGCTCTGGATTCACGAATAATTCGAAAAGGCTTGGCCCATGTCTGCTGGTGCGGGAAGCTGTTTCACTTTTTTACCCTCCCTTGTGCCCTAGCAATTCTTGAATGTCACTGAGGACATGCTAGTCACGCTCCTCTTGCGACATCCCATAGGTCGGCCCACCCATCTCGTCTCCATACGCGCGCCAAGTTGCAAGGATTCATCGTGTGGAGTTCAGGGTCTCGTTCTATGGATAGAGCTGGCTACCTTGTGTGGAACCATTCCGTCCATGGATGAGTTTGGTCAACTCATCCTGCCACGGGTAAGTGAGTGATGACTACTCGAAGATGCATACAATAACACGAGCTCGTCATCAAAGGGGGTCGGGTCTTGATTGAACTTTTTTCGTGGGTTGAATGAGAACCTACGCGGGAGCTACATTCTTGGAATCCTTCCACCCAGGCCCCCTGCTCACGGCTGAGTAGGGCTGGTCTCCTTTCCCACCGACAGTATCCCTTGGATACATGAATCCAACAAAGAGTGACTTGTTTCTAAATCGGAACAATCCTCGAGTACATCAGCGATCCACGGACCAAGTTCCCAAGCTCAATAGCCCCCAAGTGGCGCTCAGACAACTCTCGGGTACGCGGGCAGTGCACATTTACCGGTAGGCTGGGAAGGGATGGACGCAAAAATGGGCCCAAATTTGTTACAAACAACAACACATCATCCTCCAAAGGGAGACAATCTCGAGGGAGTATTTCCACCTGGAACAGTCCCCAGAATTTCGACTATGAACGTAGAAAATGGAATGAAGGGTCTACAACCGCTAGCATAGTAAGGTTTAGTGACTGTAGCTTTGGGGGCGCGAATCTGATGCTGTCAACCTGACCAGACGGTCTGATACCAATGATCTGATGGATAGAAGACCCTTTGTTTTCTATCGCTGCTCCCATGGATAGCTCTTAATCAAGCTGCAACATCCTATTGTGACCCAGTCCGCACATGGAACCAGAAAATTGAAGGCGTGACCATTCTGTTTCGGACATTAGCAATAAGGTATTAAGACTTGACCACACGGGGTGTTCGAGGTCTGACGGTCTGATGCATGACCACCAGGCGACAGTCTATGATGTGTCCATAGGAATATTCCATGACGCTTTCTTAAGTAACAGTTTTTCTTGCAACGGTCATTTATACAGAAATGCGGCCATGATAATAAGTATGTCACCCGAAAGATGCCCTAGCTGTGAGCAATTGTAGTTTCTGTTAAATTGTACATTCTCAAGATTCTTTCCAATCTCGATCGAAAGGCTTAGTGAGATACAATTATACATTAACAGTGATACAGTGGGAGTGGTGGCGATAAAACTCTGTCTTATCCCACCGTTCGTTGACTGAGAGCTTGTGTAGCACGAGGTCTCGCAGCATCAAACTTAGCTTTCAGTCTTCATCCACCCGAGACAACACGTCTCGGCCTTTGAGAAAGTCTAGAGTGAGCCAAGGGATGGCACTTGAACTTTCATTGCGACTATCAAAGATTGTACGTACATGTAAGCTCGCCACTCAGGCGCAACACGGATTCGAAGACATAAGCTGTCACATCCAATTCAATCAAATTTGGAAATGATTCACGGGCCCAGAAATTAAAAGCACACGTCTGGATAAAGGTTGTATTCGATATTGTGGAATAATCCGTAGTGGGGGGAGAGTCCCAGTCGAGATAGGGCGCGTAAGAAAGTGTGAGGACTCGTTGACCGACTTTACCATCACAGAGCTGATAACAAGAATCAAATTATCAATACGACATTACATGCATCGACTGTGGCGGCTTATTGCCACTGAGTAGCGGTCGAATCATGCAAGATTTGAATTTACGGGTGTATATGTCAGCAGGGAAAATTACCGGCTAGTACCAAGTTCAACAATCCTGTATTGAAGTGCGTGTTCGCATTTGGGAGGAGAAAGGGATGGAAAAATCCCATCGATGCCTCCATATAGACATCTTTTGTAGACATACGTTCATGATTGTTCTGGTACCTGCGGCCTTGCCTATATATATCTTTACAACATGACTTGGAACGAATAATGTTCACGTGAACGTCCCCTACTCGCCCTTTCTGTGGACATAGACCACCTAGAGTATTTCATTTTCTGGAAAGACAAAACGAAATACTATATTAACACTAGGCCCGGCCAGTTCTGAATATCGTACATTTGTCCCAAAAAAGAGATCTCTAGAAAATTTCTCCTAAAAGTTCGGGCAGAGGGGTTGAACCCTGGCCCTATGAAAATCCCACCCCCCTAGGGAATTTTCTGCTCTGTATTTAACCGCTCGGCTATGGCGTTCCCGGGGCGTCCCCCAGGGCTGGTACACATTGAAAGAAAAAAGTTGTAGAAAGAAGGTTTGGATGGGCGCTATGTGGGTGCCATCCAGGTAATGAGGCTGTAGGTGGCTTGGATGTTGGGATGAGAAAGGGGACCAACCCAGACTTAGGCGTAATAATCAGAGATTCACTGAAATACACACTCGATCTTCTGGGATGATGGAACTTTAGCAGAAAAGGTCAACAAGGAAGGTGGTCCTCTCCAGAGGCACTTACACGAAGGCAAGAACCAATGCGCTTCGACGATTTCTTCTTGCTTCAACAGCCCATTACTATTCACTTATATATGATTAATGAGCTTCCCACTGGCCAACAGGCTGCCTTGCTGACATGTATACTAACACAGCCCGCAAGCGGTGACCATATCTTTGGCAACATCACTGTGGCGTGCTTCGATATATGATATGTGCGTGCGGTAGCGGTGAGTAGCAGAGCAATGACGGGGTAGGCCTATACTTGTTGTGACCACAGGTATATAGCCGTGATATGATGGCCAAATCCCTTGCACATTAGGAGCTACGTTTGTAGCATAAATCAAGGTGGTTTTGATAGTTGCTATGAGATTGTGAAGGGTTGCGACATACGTGCACACACGAGTAATTACTTCCAGGGGTCAACATCGTGCCAGTTTAAGCAAGTCTCAAGTGCCGCTCGACTGTGGAGGGGAGTATCCCATCAACTGCAGGATGGCGACAGTCCATTCTTTCTCCAAATTTCTCTCACTCTGCTCTTTTACGATTTTTTTCCATGAGAGCAATAAGAGAAATAGGTTCCGACTAATGCGTTACTAGTTAGCACCCCTTATAAAAGCACGTGAAGTATTTATGTACTGTCGCTATTCTGCAGTTGATGGGATATAGTAATCTGAGTTGGTAAGAAGACCGAGCTTTCAGTGAGGCCGCGAAGCAGAGATCACTTCATTCTTGAACTAAGCATGAGTAGTAATTCGCGATATTGAAAAGCAAACTCCTGAGCTGGTAGCACACGCACTCCAGTCAGCGTTGAGTTATGTGGCCTTGTCTATATAAAATGTCTACCATAAGTTTTTGAGATATGAGTATCACTCATGTGACTGGTATTTTAGGCATCTTGACTGCGGATGATACTAGTAACGAATTGTAAGGTGATCAGGAACGTAGCATTGCCTTTCCAAGGCAGTCGGGACTGAGATTCTTTTCATTCCCAGCCCTTGTTTTATCTCACATGAGGTATCGGCGAAACTGTTATATGTTCTAGACCGTGAATATCTGTGTCGGCCCCGCAAGTTCAAGGAAAAGGACTGTTCCAAGGAAGGTGATCATCTTGGATGAGTCAATTAAGGTAGCTTACGAATCTGGCTTAGCAATGATATGAGGTAGCTATCAATGGCTCAAAGCTTGATTAAGTTCATCAGACCAATAACTTTCATCGACTAGTAATCTGAAGTTAGAGAGGTGGGCAGGCATATGATCTTCGCCAGCTTAAAATGTTTACTGCGGCATACAGCCACGCTCTGAATCGCATCGGACACGGAGTGAAGTAGCGGAAAGACCGGGCTAGAACACCTGCGTTAGCTATAGTTAATTGAAATCATGTTCTCTGTTATCAGCTCGATCCACCTAAGTTCATGGATCTGACGAGATTGGCGACATGTGAGCTAGAAGAGGCGCGGCTATTTTCTCCACGATCGTATCGGATACGCGGAGAAGAGAATTAAACCTTCATCCCGAGACTATATCCTTTGAGGATTGGGGTGATTATCCAGATACTTGGCTGAATACAGTCGTCAACGACGGAATCTCCCACAGAGGAACCTCTCACAGAGGGACAAAAGCCGAAAAGCTAGCCGCATTGAGGCTTGCCTCAATGACATTGGTGGATCGGAGGAGGGCCCGGGTCTAAAAGTTGAAGACTTCTTTACGGGGCAGGATAAACGCCCAGGGTCAGGGGAACCAGCTGCTGCCAAAGAAGTAATGCCACACAGTTTTCCGGATTGAGTTCACTATCCGTCAAGTTTACTGATCAGGAAGTGGATTAAACCTGGACACGGGGTGGTGTCATCCAGGCTCGGCTGTTGGCGTTTTAGCCTTCGCTTGTAGCCCGCACCCGGCACTGTCTACGTGCGGTGAACACGAGGATATGCTGAAGTTCATTTGCCCTATTAGCTCCGGTAGTCCAGAGAATGATGAAGGATCAGCAGATGGATATTGAGCACATAATACTCATATACCGAATGAAGGCAGCACACGAGTTGGAAATTTTCTGAACAATGAAAACCACTATGGCCTGCTTGCCATTTGTACGTGATCATGCCGTCCACAGAGGCTATGGTTTGATTCCGAAAGTGGGGGCCCGAAGGTCTGAAAACATTGACTTGAAGAGTGAGCTGTAACCGGTCATGGTCCGAGAGTCTACATCTTGTACATGCCTCGTTGCATGCTTAACGGATGCGTAACGCAGCACGGTTGATCAGATAAGATACTACCTAGTCCCAAGTTCCAGACTCATTAGACAGAGGCAAAGTCCAGACCATGAAGAGCCAGCGGGAAAGTGCCGAAAACGAGGGAAACCGTTATTATAACAGGCGCGAAGGTGGATGACTTATACTGCTGGAGGCAATTGTTCAGCCTGTCAATATTAAGCTTGGTTACACGAAACCGGTCTCCTTGTTGTCCCCCTCAACCCCCCTCTGGAATGCTACATTGTCATTCCCGAACGAGCGGCAAACCTCGGAATCTGCCGAGCGGGTATACATGTTTTCGGTCAAGACTGAGGAGGGGGAAAACAGCTGACGGAAGCCGGGTGCGTTTAGGTGTGTTCGGCAGCCGCGTAGAGACAACGCGCTTGGGAGGGCTTCGTTGAAGATTGTCGTGCCTCTGATGAGATTACATCCAAATCCGGTCGCATGGCATCATATGAGGTCCCGGAAACACTTGGCAAAGTCGGAAGTCCGACATAAGGAGATCTTCGAGGTCGGGAAAAGGTTCTCGCCCATGAACCCATGATGGCCAGGTTCATGTTCACCTTCCGCAATTCCCTGACCCTACGAGACGGTCGATTGGCAGTGCTTGCATCTTCAAGATCAGGTGGTGGGCGTGACCAAGAGCCAGCACGGCTTTTTCAAGCTATGGTATGCCAGGATGGGCCCTCCCTTAGAAGTTATCATCAAGCGGAGTGGAATCTGTTTTCCCAGAACTTTGGTTCAACGGCAATTCCTCTCGTTTCTTGACGTCGGCTTTTCCTTACGCCAAGAGGCTTCGTTGGCATCATCGGCAACTCGCTGGCAAAGGGGAAGAGTGTAGTTACACGTTAAAAGAGTGGATGGCTCGCGTTGCGGTGCCAAGCGAGAGCCATGCCCCGAAACGTGATAATGCCCGGCCCCAACACATTCTTGAAAGGGATGTTCGAGGCCTAGCGGCCGATCCGACCTGCAGTCGACAAGCCGCCACAGCCTAAACCGGAGCTAGTCGTGTCTCTGAGCTTTGGTCAAGCTCGACTGTGCCATCGGCATCTAGTGAGGCGCAGAATGGGGCGTAGTCGGGAAAGCAAGAGAGCGAGAGAGAAAAAGAGGCTTAAAGGCGTCTTTGAGCCGCATTTGGTTAAAACAATTCTCATTCCGCCAACACCAGAAGACTGATGGCGAGCCCCCCTCGGCGGTCTTGCCATGTCTGCTTGGCCTGTCGATTTCCAGAAGACGAATGTCGTCCTCGTGAAGACTTTCAAACTTTAACTAAGCGAACAGCCGACCAATCCACGCAGACTTCAGACCTCTGCCCGGCTCCGATCGTCCCCTCGATTCAGATTCTGGGGCGTTGACCGCACCTCAGCCAGAGAAGTGAACACCCATCTGCAGGACATCTGTCCGCGGGCATCTGAGACCTTGTTCCTCGGTTTAGGGTCTAGCCGTAAAGTCACCCCAGGAACCCCATGGCCTTCCCACCCAAGGCAGTCATAGGCCGGGCGGAAAACGTGGGATACGGTAGAACGTGCGAGTGATGACACTTGAACAGGCCCACCCCCCTCCCCTCTTCCAGTCTTTCAGATGATGGCCCCAGTGGTCTGGGCCGACTTGTCCGCACCCGGAAGGCTACTTTGCCATCTCCGCCGTGGCTTGCACGACGACGCCCCGTCCTCCCCGGCGGCTGATCCGAGCCGCACCCTCACCCATATTTGTTACCCTTCCCAGATATCTCCCCCTCTCATGGTTGCACAATTTTCTTTCCTTCCTTCCTCTGCCCAATCTCGCACTGCTGGTCTTTCAGACTTTGGTGTTCACCGGAACGCACCCCCACGAGTCCTTGGACGCCTTCACTTCCGTCATGATTTGATCACCACACAATTTGATATCACAGCGAAAACCACATGATTGTTGCTATGAAGCCATATCTCATTCTCTTGTCTTTCTTGACGAGCCTACCATTAGTGTATGGTCTCTACGATGATGTGCCAGATTGCGCAGTAAGTCATTCGAGAACCTAACCGCACTTCAAGGTGCTGACAGGCTATCCTAGCTACCATGCCTATTCGAGCCGCTCGACTACACATCATGCCAGTTCAGTAATTCGACATGTCTCTGCGAAGATATGAACTATAACATGGCCGTGATTCATTGCGTTCGGGTTCAGTGCAGCGTGCAGCAAGCTTTGAGTAAGCATATCATAGCAGTTTGTTGTAAGATGCCGGGAGATGCTAACACGAGCCTGCTAGTCACGAAGAATCGAACATGGCAAGACTGCGGATTCGCATATCATGATGAAGGTGTTTCCATTGCATGGGTTCCGTCATTCCTCTTCGGGATGGTGACACTATTTTTTGCCATGCGGCTGGCGACGAAATGGATAGGTTTATCGACTTGGGGGTTGGACGATACAACCATTACCTTTGCATACGTAAGTCTGGGCGGTCCTGAGATGAGGTCTCAGCTAACCTTTAGATTTAAAGGTAATGATGATTGCCTTCTTGGTCGCCACACATCTTGGAAGGCAAGAGGGATTTGGAAAAGACATTTGGACGCTCACGGTGGATCAAATCACAAATTTCATCAAGGTAAGTTCGGGATTAAGTGACACATCTAGAACACGACTAACTCGCAAGTCCAGGGCTTCTTCGCTTTTGAGATTGTCTACTCCGTGACACTCGCAGTCATCAAAGCTTCGATACTATTCCTCTACCTGCGCATTTTCGGGGCACTCACCGAGACTTTCCGCCGAATCTTATGGGCGACGCACATCTTCAATGTCATTGTATGCGTCACATTTGTCATTGTCAACTTGAACCAATGCAAGCCTCTCAGCTATTTCTGGTTCGGATGGGATGGTAGACATCCTGGTCAGTGCATTGACCTGTCTGCCATGGCCCTCTCTCATGCGGCCATCAATATCGCTCTCGATCTCTGGATGCTGGTCTTGCCAGCGACACAAATCTACAAGCTCAACCTGCAGAAAAGGCAGAAAGCTGGCATCATGTCCATGTTTGGTGTGGGCATCTTGTGAGTCCATCCACCCACGCTTGTCACTGGTTCCTTTGACTAATCTGTATGATACAGCATCACCATCGTCAGTGCTGTTCGCCTGCGCAGTGTAGCGCAATTCAATAAATCATGGAATCCAACTTGTAAGTTCCTGGGTAATGGTTAATCATCAAAATTCCTCTTGCTGACGTCTTATTAGACGACTTCTTTGGCTTGGCACTTTGGTCTCACATCGAGCTTTGCGTTGGAACAATCGTAGCATGCATGCCAGCAGCTCGAGCCCTCGTCCGACGACTCTTCCCCGAACTCCTCTACGTCACCAATATCTCCACGAATAGAACTTCCACTAGAGCTTCCGGCAACGTCAAGATTGTATCTCAGGACATCGCGACCATTGCTACGGATGATCTCCCCGAGAGTTCGACAGCGAATTCTACGAAGAAGGACTCGCTCGCTACCCTGACGCCCGACAGGGTCCCGCTGAGACGACTGACTACGAGCGATAGCTTGCTGCAAATCTCTCTCAGCGATCGTGATCGCTCGTTATACGGAGACTCACAGAAAGGAAGCAAACTCAGTGACTGGTAAACGTCTATTTGGCTACCTGTATTCGTAAACAATATTGTTGGTAATAATGGGACTGGCGAAGGGGTGTGAAAAGCATGGATAATACCCTTACTATACTGCGAAGCAGATTGATATTTAGAATTCTTTTGAGCAATGCATTATTTGCAGCTCACATCATGTACGAAACTAAGAGAAAAAAAAGTAAAAAAGAACACACAGATCTATACATTTCAGATGCTTAGAATCTCTGCGGCGCGGGAGATTGCAGATGCGCTCTTCTCCACCCATTCTTCGGCCTGTGTCTCGTTGCCGGAGCTTAAACTATCCTGCACTGCGGGGAAGACATCGGCGCCGTAGCCGTTGTCGAGACCGGGAGCGCTTATGACATTGTGGAATGTCGGGCGTCCAGGAAGACCGCCGGCGCTCGCAAAGCCACGCGAGAAGTCTCGGTACTTGCCGTTGATCACGTCGATGAGGACCGTGTCGTTGAAAGCGAGGGCTTGTTTGGCGACTGTGGCGATGCGCTCGGCTGCGGCCTCGAACTCGGTAATCGCTTCGTCAATGGGCGATAGGCTAAGGCTGGGATAGTCCTCGGCGATGGTCTCGTTGAGGTCCTCGTAATAGGTTCGTAGCACGCGTCCGGCATTGGGCAGATCCCAGGGGATGATCACATCATCGGCGATGTGGAATGCGATCAAGGTGAGCCACTGGCCCATCGCCCGATGTATCTTGAAGCCCGGGTCTCCAAACTTTGCCATCCAGGTATATGAATCGTAGTGTCTAGTCTCTATCAGTCATACGCGCCGTAAAAATCATGTGAAAGATTTGGTTTTACCCGTGATAATGGTAGACTGGATCAGTTTTGCCCCCATCAGATCCGATATCAATCTGTTTTGTGTGTTAGTCTCAGATGTCTTGGAAGGGGCAATCCAAAACACTTACAGCACTGATACCATTGTGATAGAAAGAAGCATAATCGCTACCGCTCCCCAAGGGAGGAATCTCACCCTCAGTAGTGTTGAACCACATGTCATACAAGGTTGGTCCAACGCCCCAATCTTCAGGAAAAAGAACCTTCTTCATCATTTCGATAGCGACCGTTTGAATTTCGCCAGATCCGGACAGAGCAGTTCGAGGACCCGAAACAGCGACATCGAGGTTCAAGTAGGCGACAGCGTTCGTCACGAGCCAAGGTAAATGACTCTCGACCCATTCAGTCGATCCTTGCAGGCCAAATTCCTCAGCGTCCCAAGAGCCCAAGATGCTGGATGTCAAATCAGTTTTGTTACCTCACGTGATGAAAGGAACATTAAAACAGCACACATACATCGTACGACGGGGTTTCCACCCCTTATTTAGAAGCTTTCCGAAAGCTTTGGAAAGCTCTATGAGAACTGCAGAGCCCGAGTTCGGGTCCGCTGCGCCCCCGATAACCCACGCATCGCGGTGATTCCCGATGATGAGGACTTCGTCGGGATGAGTTCCGTTGATGACGCCAACAACATCCCAAGAGGGAGCAACTGTTTGGTTCATGAAATGAACCATGTCAAGCGTGGCACCCGGTGTTGGACCGCTGCTGTAAGTGATGTTCGACAGTGCGCCAACCCAGCTGCTGCGGTTGACCTGCTCGGCAGACAGGCCGCTTCCGTCAAGAGCGGCGAGTAATGGCACCGCATCTTTCATGCTGATGGGCACGGATGGAATGGTTGGGTTGTAAGGAGTCACATCATTCCTCGGGCCATCCTTCTCTGATGCATATCCGACTGTGGATGGATCACCCGAGTACAGCGAGGAGAAACGGACGCTGCCTCTTTGGATCATAGAAGGATTTCTAGCTGGACCATCTAGAGGTATGGAATGCCTTAGTCAAGTGTGTCTTTGTGGAACCTGACATCCGGGACTACGATATGGACTTACCTGGGTACGCGAGGTAACCGTTTGCAACGGTAATTTCTCCGTCATCAAGAGGGTCGGTGAAAAGAACAGCCCCGATCATGCCGTTGTCCTAGATCGTTAAGCCTTTGAAACCGTCCCGCAGATTGCGTGAGACATACCTGTGCATTCTTCACTTTGGTTCCTCTGTAAATCGCACCGTACATGGACAGTGCGATCTTGCCTTCCAATTCGATTCCGGCATCCTTCAGGGCTTGGAAGTCTCCGCGTTGTCCGCGACTGTATCCCAAAGTCAGCACCTTAAATGGCAGTTAGTTCAGACTTCAGGGTCAACGCACCCAACGTAGACATATTCGGCACTAATGTTGCCGCTTCCGCTCATCGCATGGTAGGCCGGAATTCGGTTGGGATAGCTAGTGGTAGGATCTTCCTCCAGCATGTCCTCAATCAAACTGACATTGTGGATGCTCCCATCTGGTCTGTTCAAACTCAAGGTAGTCTCAAGGGGAGCAGTATACCAGATCCAATACTCCTCAATGGAAGCATCCCAGCCAGCATCAATCCACTTTTGTTGCGTCCACTCAGCTAGAGTCCGGTTGTGTCCGCCAAGATGGTCTCCAGACGTATAGTAGTGAGACCATTCGTCGAGCGATTTGCTATCAAAGGAGTTCACAAGTATAGACTCGGATTCTGTGAGAGAAGGTGGATATTCCACAGCCATATCTCGTTTCTTGTGACCATGATCGTGGTGACTGTGGCGCTCGATGCGGCGGTTCAGGGCGGCCCAGTCTCGTTGACAAGCGTAAATGCTTGTGGCCGTCAAGGCCAATGAAACAAGAATTTGTCGCATGATAGAGATACCGCAGTATTCCCAAGAGTCACTCGATGTTCTCGAAGATGCAGGGGTTTGGAATGATGTTTGAATTACGGATACTCTACTTTTAAACGTGCACTCTACAAGATTGTCGTAAGCTCATCACCTCATGAGCCCCCTCTTACAAGGTTCAAAAGTTCCATAAGCAAGCAGAATCAAGGCAGAAACCGAGGAAAGACCATTGAGGCTTCTACGACCAATACTTTCAGTCAATCTCACTTGCAAAGCCCGCATTATCGGCATCTCACACTGCCTACGTGACATCCTGCGAACTTCCTATCTGGCGTAGCGTTCATGTAATGCAACGTGAGCCAGCAGTGAATTAGCCAAGTTCAAGCAACGAGACTGCAGCTTATATCTCCGGAGGATTGGCTGGCAGTGAGGGGTAGTATGAATTTGGTGATCTCAAGCGTGGGGTAGATCTTGGCGTACGTAGTCACGCGCATGATGGGTTGATTGAGTCTCTTTCTTGCAAAAATGCCACCGGCTATGTATGCTTGAGAAACCGAAGGGTAACCCGGAGTGCTCGGGATGCTTCAAGCCGTGATCGGTAGCGATAACCCGCTGGACTTCATGTTCGATGAATAATTATTGATCAGAAGATCCGGAATAGCCGCGATAGCGTGATTCTCGGCATTGAATGTTTATCAGTCTGAACCAACAAAGGAATCTCCAAAGCCAGTTCTTGTAGATGGCGTTCCTCCGTCGAAGGCTAGTCTGTCTTAGTCAAAACTGAGGCCAGAGGCTACAGCTACAAGCCACAAACAAGCGCCACACTGGGCCGGTGGAAAAACCCATCAAGGGCCACGGAACTTAGTCTGTTCAGTCTTTGATGTAAAGATGATGAACACTACGGTAGATTATGAACGAGGATCAGATTACTGTAAAGCACATGAGCCAGAGCTACTGCAGGAACAGACCTGTCCTGAGGGAGTGAGACACTAGACACGCAAGGGGGCATTGAGGCGGAGGTGTGAATCTCAAGCACCTTCCACTGCTAAGAGTCCAAGGTATATGAATGCAGGAGAGAGAAAGCTCAATCATGGTATTTTTATTGCGCGAAGCGAGTCATCAGTGAGAAGCTTACCATTAATCAGGTAGCCATCATGAGATTCATAAGATTCATGAGTGAGAGATGAGTGAGTGGCCTTAGGAGCCAAGGGTCCAAGTTTGAGCGGAGTTTCCCCGGCGCACGGCCCGTTCCAGGCATCCTAGCTCCATCCCGAGGAACTTGGTTCTGCTGCCAATTTTGCCCATACGCGAAGTAGCCTCGGATAAGTCGCCCCGCCAGCTGCACTCCAGCTGCTTCTCCGCATCAAAGCGTCATCGCCTAGGAGCTCCAGCTCCAAGCTCCCCCAAAGCTCCGAGAGCTCCATCAGATCTCACGCGATCCACCTCCCATCTGCAAACCACCATCCATCCAGTCATTGGATCTCTCCTTATCAACACACACACACACACATCTCGATTCTCAGCTGGCTGGTTTCGTCAATCACCTTATCGCCAGAGCTTTATCAATAGGCGCTCATCACGCAATCGCCCGTCATGTCGGAGAAGGCGCCGCTTATCCCGGAGTCGGAGCAGGGCGTGTCTTACGGCCGGCCCATGCAATGCCCGTACGCCCAACGGTGCTCTACGAGGAAAGCCGCAGTGAAGGTCTTCGCCCTGGCTACCGCTGCCGGCTTTCTGTACTATAACATCCCTCAAGGTTAGGATCCCTCAAGTGATCCTGTAGGTGGCTACTAAAGTCTGTTGGTGTAGCCCAGAAACCCATCCACGAAGACAAGACGCCCGTTTGCATGACACCGGCCTGTGTCCATGCCGCCTCTGAGATTTTGTACAATTTGTCGCCGAATTACAAAGAGCTGGACCCATGCAATGACTTTGAGGAGCTCGTCTGCGGAGGATGGAGGGACCGACACGACCTTCGTGCCGACCAAGGCGATGCCTTCACCGGCACCATCATGTCGGAGAACTCGGAGCTGCTGCTTCGTCACATCCTTGAGGCTCCCTATCCCAAGGACTCCCAGGTCAACATAACCAAGTCACAGTTTATGACCTACGCTAACTGAATTCCAGCACTCGTACTTCTCGCCCCTCCGTCTCGAATCCACGGACAAGTCCGCCGACGAGCAGAACTTTGACAAGATGAAGGCTGCGTACGATGCTTGTGTTGACGAAGACAAGATCAAGGAGATCGGAGTCGAGCCTCTCATCCAGATACTGGACGAGATCAAGAACAGCTACCCACTTG